TACATAAAAAAGCAAATCAATCAATCAATTAAAAAATTGACCTATAAGAAAATGGTATCTTTTCTCTCCTTGGTTATGTTTATTATTATTATGATTATTTTCCAGTAATTTCCCATGTATTCTGACTCAATCTGAATACCTGCGTTCACGTGTATGTGAGTATCTGTTTATGAGAAAATGAATGGGTCCATTTGCTATATACTTTATGTCTGTGTATTTTTGTGTGTATGTGCACAGTTACACTGAGTCTTATTTAATGGCTCCAGACTCCTAAATGGGATTATAATGCCATCAGATAGTGTGTCTGTGTGTCTGAGTGTGTGTGTGTGTGTGTGTGTGTGTGTGTGTGTGTGTGTGTGTGTGTGTGTGTGTGAGAGAGAGAGAGAGAGAGAGAGAGAGAGAGAGAAAGAGAAAGAGAGAGAGGTCAAGGATGTCTCAAGATTAAATTAATGTAGATTGGCAACACACTAAGTGGCATGGCATGTAGATTGAAGTGACACACACACACACACACACACACACACACACACACACACACACACCTGTGCACTTTCTCTCTTTTGCAGTTGAGATGTGGAACTCATCACAGCTGTCAATCAATATAAAATGTACCCTTAAAAGGAGCAGGGGGCATATCCAGTATTCATTCAGGCTCCACCCCTGACACAGACTCCTCCCCTGAGACTGAAATATTGATTGCAGTGAGAAACGGTGTGGAATGGATATTCTGAGTGATATGGATGAGGAGAGGGAACATTATGGAACCTGATTTCAGTAGGAAGTCGAGTGATTGCACTCTCAGGAGGAGCTCAGGCTTTGCATGTGTGTGTGTTTGTGTGTTGTGTGCATCTGATTGTGTGAGTGTGTGTGATTTTGTCCAATTAATCCTTGCGGATGTTCCTAGAAGACCCAGGAAGAGACCTGAAGCGATCGGATATCCTGAACAAAACACAAAAAAACATGTGAACACACACACACACACAAGTACCTGTTTACCATCACAAGCCCTAATCATCTTCTTTGCTGTGCTCAGAATATTTAATTTCTTACATTTGTCTTTCTAATCACAGTAGCCACATCCAGTTGTTTTTTCTGGGGTTTTTTTCTCATTTGTTTTGTTAATTCAGTCTTTCCAATGTTTCATCCTCGTCTTCAAAACAATGTTTTTTCCTTGCTATAGCCTTTTTGTTGCTTATTTATTGCCACTATTTTCCGTGAAGCTGCTTTGAAACATTATATTTTGCAAAAAGCAGCATACAAAAGCTGTTGGGTTTTTAGGTAGTATTTTCACAGCATAAAAAAAACAACAACAAAAAAACACACACACACACACACACACACATATCTTAGTATTGTTCTGTCTTGTTTTACAGTAATATATATATATATATATATGGACTGTATACTTGCAAAGCAAAGTTACTTAAGGTATTACGTTTTCATTTCTGAAAATGTGTCAAAATTAAACAAGTTTACTGAAACAACAAAATCTGCCAGTGGGGTAAAACAAGCTTTTATTTTCTAAACATTTATTTGAGAAGCAATATATGATAAGATATAAAGTCTTGTTTTCTGAAAAATCTATTTTGTGACTTTATGCTTGAAATAAGAACAAATAATGGGATCCAAAAATTACCATTTTAATTAAGTTTATTTGTTTGACCCCATTGGCAGATATTTTTTTTGTCTTGTAGGTAAAAACTCACTTAATTTGGATTTTTCAGAAAACAAGATGTAATACCTTAAGTCATTTTGCTTCTCAAGTAAATGTGTCTTCATTTAATAATATAATATATATTGAGTAATATAATTTTATGGTGTTGTATTTTAAATCAAACTGCACAGTTCTGATCTGCATTTCTGCAAACCTTGATATTTCCAGGTCAATAATCCTGACATTGTTGATTTATATATTCAGCGCTCACTGAACTTTGTTTGACCATGAAGCAAATCATCTCTGAACCAAAGCACCTGTTTCCACATGCACATTCTGGTCTCTCTCCCTGATTAAAGTCCTTGGACTCAATTGCAGATGTTAACCATTTGGTTTTTATTTATGTTACATGAGTAAGTGTTCGAACTTGGTGGGTTTTGTGGTTGAGAATACAAAATAGGAGTGTATTCGATGCATATATTTGCTGTCTGTTTTCACTACTCAAATAAATCCATCAAAGCATTTTTAACTTAAAACTGTTGCTTCTAGCTAAAATACAAGTCCATAATCCATAATAATGCTTCTTCCAGTGAAAAGGAGAGAAATAGATTAAGCACCATTTACAAGCGAAAATAGTCTACACCACTGATCTATCGTATTTTGTATTTTGGCCAGAAGCAACGGTTTGAAGTAAAAACATCTTAATGATGGATTTGTTTCTCACAAACACGCATCTTTTCACTTCACAAGATGTTAATTGATGGACTGGAGTGGTGTGAATTACTAATTGTGATGTTTTTATCAGTGGTTTGAACTCTTGTTCTGACGGCACCCATTCACTGCAGAGGATCCATTGGTGAGCAAAGGATGTATGCTACATTTCTCCAAATCTGTTCCCATGAACAAACAAACTCATCTACATCCTGGATGGCTTGACGGTGAGTTTTCAGCAAATTTTCATTTTTGAGTGAATTTGAACATTCTTTTAGCATAATACAACCAGTTAATTTCGATTAAGCTAAGACAAAACACTTTTGGAGATGTTCAGATTGTGAATACCTCTCTTTTGCATGCTATAAAAGTGACTGGTGACTGTAAAGTAAGACTTTCAAGGAAAATATTTTTTTTCGGTTTAATTGTATAGAAAAGAACAGCTCGCACATTCTTCGTCGCATCTCCATTTGTGTATCACAGAAGAAAGAAAGCCATATAGATGAGTAGATGTTCATCAGGCACATCTATGAAGTGTTTCAAGCCACACCTCTCTCATTTGAGGCGTTTGTGTGTGTGTGTGTGTGTGTGTGTGTGTGTGTGTGTGTATTAATCAATAGAATTTAGGGTTTAATTAATTAATTAATTAATTAAATAAATAAAGTAGGCAAGTGTACTAGTTTAAAGTGCAACAGTTGTGATTATAATTTAAATAAAAATAAAAATAATATTTAAATAATACAATTTTACAGTAAGACGACACACATTAGTCAAATCATTGTTTTATATTAAACCTCACAACAGTCATTAATCACTACATCTAGGGAAGTAAATAAATAAATAAATAAATAAATACTAGTCAAGTGTACTAGTTTAAAGCGCAACAGTTATGTAATTATAACTGTAATAAAAAAATGACTTTATGCTGAATGCTGTAAATTAATCTAAATCATTTTTATATTAAACATCACAACAGTCATTACTTGTAGGGATAAATAAAGTATAGCAGATTATACTATAATTTATTGAATATGGAGTTTATTATACTGGTGTGCAGGGAGGGGTGAAGAACACGGAGGAACCCTGATTGGCTGGGTAGCAGGTGATTTGCTTGCTGAAGGGTTCAAATCTTTAATCATCTCATTCGTAGAGATGCTGTCAGACTCTAGACCGCAGGATGGAGAAGTATCAGTTTTGGCATGGAGAGAAATGTAATGGAACACACTTCAGCACTTCAGGGAGATGAAAGGAACAGACTCCAACAGCCTGAAACAACTTCAAATGCTTCCTTTGGCACTTAAAAAAAAAGCAAAACACCCTCTGAAAATCCACCATCCTAAATGTAGGTTATAAAATAGCACAGTGACCAGCAGAATAACTGAATTCGGTGTAATTATTTTTCATTTTCCATCAAGTATCATTATCGACCAATCTGCAAATAACCCCAGCCGAGCCATTATACATCAAGAAACCAGACACTTTCTTCTCCACTGTCAAATTAAAGAAATAGTTCACCTAAAAATGAAAGTTTACTTACCCTCAGGCCATCCAAAATGTAGATCAGTTTGTTTCTTCATCAGACAAAGCTATATTATGGATTGAAGTTAAAAACGTCTTGGTGGATTTGTTTATTATAAACATGCAGCTTTTCGCTTCACAAGATGTTAACTGATGGACTGGAGTCGTGTGAATTTCTTCTGGATTATTGTGATGTTTTTATCAGCTGTTTGGACTCTTATTCTGACGGCACCCATTCACTGCCGAGGATCCATTGGTGAGCAAGTGATGTAATGCTACATTTCTCCAAATCTGTTCCCATGAACAAACAAACTCATCTACATCCTGGATGGCTTGACGGTGAGTTTTCAGCAAATTTTCATTTTTGAGTGAATTTGAACATTCTTTTAGCATAATACAACCAGTTAATTTCGATTAAGCTAAGACAAAACACTTTTGGAGATGTTCAGATTGTGAATACCTCTCTTTTGCATGCTATAAAAGTGACTGGTGACTGTAAAGTAAGACTTTCAAGGAAAATATTTTTTTTCGGTTTAATTGTATAGAAAAGAACAGCTCGCACATTCTTCGTCGCATCTCCATTTGTGTATCACAGAAGAAAGAAAGCCATATAGATGAGTAGATGTTCATCAGGCACATCTATGAAGTGTTTCAAGCCACACCTCTCTCATTTGAGGCGTTTGTGTGTGTGTGTGTGTGTGTGTGTGTGTGTGTGTGTGTGTGTTACTGGGTGTGTTTTGAGGTTAAAACTCTGCTCCCACTTGTTGCTGAAGTTGCGCGTCTCAGTTTCAAGAAGCCCTTTCCCTTACCAGATGCCGAGCACGGGTTCTCCCGATGTCTGACGAAGGCGAGGGGCTCCGTGTCTCCTCTTCCTCCCCCTCTCCCGCTCCTGCCGGTCAGACTCGTCTCCCTCAGCCGCCGAGACCCCTAAAGCGGCGGGCATCTGCGCCACTTCCACGCACCGACACGCGATCCAGAGACGCGTTTCCCCGCGATCCGCTGGATTTGATCGGGCGCTCGCCGGCGCGTCTTGGGCGATGCTGCACCGCGTCTCCGGTGCGCGACGGTCTCCAGAACCGCGGACAGCGGCGGCCCTCGCCACACAGACCCGATCATGAGACGCGCAACCTGGAGGAGTTGATCGAGACCCCGCACAGCTGCGCTCCACTTGACACGTGAGTCCAACCTTCAGTCCTCTGGACTTTACAACATCTTATTCCACAGTACAGGAATCAAGAAATGGATAGATCTTATAATGAGGTCATACAAAAATTGGTCCGGTAACCTACAACCGTGTTCATTTGGTAACAGAACCTATCAACCAGTTACCGTTTTATTCAAGTCATAACTATAATTTAGTAGGCTATGTATGACTGAATCAACTATCGAAAGTCATTTTTAAGGATCGAATGAGGTCTTTATTTGAAAGAACAGCATATTTTCACTTTAGACTTGCATAGGCTATAGGCTACAAAAATATATAAAACAAATGCAGTTCAAAAGTTGTATTTTTTATTTATTGTGTAATTTGCTCTTTTCTTTCTAGTAAGCATTTCGTTTTTAATTCAATAAGTTATCATAGGCTATAATAAGAATACATTGTTGTTCATACATTCTTTTTTCTTTCAGTTATCGTTCTTGTATATTTTATTAATTTATAATGTATCTATTCAATGTTATTAAAGTTTTTAAAAATATAATTTTGAGGTGCGTCTTGAGGTTTTTGGTCATTCATTAGCTCAGTGCTTCCCAAACCTGTCCTGGAGGCCCCCTTGCCCTGCACCTTTTGTATGTCTCCCTTATCTAACACACCTGATTCCACTCATCAGCTCGTTAGTAGAGACTGCAAGAACTCAATTGGGTATGTCTGATTAGGTAGACATACAAAATGTGCAGGGCAGGGGGTCCTCCAGGACAGGTTTGGGAATTCAAAACTGAGCACCTAGGTTTCCTCGTGTTGGAGCAATAAGCGGGTGTGGCGTGCATTTTATTTTTAATTTAAGTTTTATCATTTGATAGTAGTAGCTATTATCTGATAATTTTGTTAAGATTAGAGATCTGATTTTGAAGGTATTATGACAGAAGTTAGAATAGTTTCCTGATCGAGACTTTCCAGTGATGCGCACGCGCTTATCACTTCTCCTCCAGAACCGTTGAGTTGGTGCGAAAAACAGGCCTGAATCACTCCAATAAGACTTTAAATATTGATGTCTGATAGCTTGCTGTTACTTATTTATTATATTGATATTTAGCTGATAATTGCCTGGAAGTGTGTGCAAAGTTGAAAGAAACAGAGTCATGAGAAAAGTGTTTGTAGTGTCGGTTCTGGTCTCAAGACACTGCCTGTAGCCTGAGGTGAAAACAATAATAACCTGCCAAAATATTCCAGACAAGCTGTCTGTGGCATCATCCGATCCGCTCCAGTGGTAATGATACTGCAGGCAGAATCAGATCTTCATTAATCTCCACGTCAATCTCCAGATGAGACTTGACTTCAACACGACTGAAGCTACAGTATTTTCCAAAAGCATTTTCTGGGTTCACACAAATATGAAGATTCTGTCATCATTTGCTCACCTTTATGTCCTTCTGAAGCTGTCGGCTATCTTCCTTGCAGCACAAAAGAAGAAATTGAAGAATGTTTATTCAGATTTTTTCTTCATACATTGAAATCATACAGTGACCATACAGTTTTTACATTCCAAAAAGTACCATAACAGTAGTTCATGCGACTTTATTTGCTATATTCAAAGTCTTCTGAAGTCATACTATAGCTTTGTGTGAGACTGAGACAGAACAATTTTGTTGTCCTTTTTAGAGCTTGACTGTCCCAGAAAAAAAAACAAAAAACACTGATACGCCAGAAAGTATATTTACCCCCTCAACAAAATATTAAATCAAAGTAATAATAATAATAATAATATTATAAATGGTAGTGTTTATTATTTTATATAATAAAAAATATAAATAATATACATTATTATTATTATTGTTTTTACATCAGAAGTAAACAACATAAGAAGGATAAAAATGAAAGCTAACTGAGAATCTTGAAAAAAAATCACAGTATAAGATAGTATTTTCCTCACTTTTGTGTTTTCAGATACAGAGAGTGTTACAAAATATTGTTGAAATCCATTAAAAAAAACATCTTATAATTTTAAACATCTTAAAATTTACACCTGGAGAATTCACACTATTTTGAGTGAAACTTAGCCAGTGGAGAATTATGCAGTTTACTGTAGGATTGTAATTGCTGACTCATTTATAATAATTGCTCCGCCCCATGCACTTTTCAGATTGGTTTGAATAAGCCACGCCCAACTCCAAACTAAATAAAAGCCATGATGCAGGAAAATGACAGAAGGGTATTGCTAAAGAATAGTACAGTCTATTACAAAATGGACTATAATCAGATATTTATGTATGTCTGTGATGTATTTTTATGCTTAGAGTATTGTAAAGTTAGATTTGCAGGTCAAATTGAATTAGACTCAGTTTTGTGTCGTGTCTCTTGTGCGCTTCACATGAGAAGTGTACTATGAAGGGTGCCATATTAATTAGGATGCTGCCTAAGAATCCAGCTACTTATATAAACTGTGCTTTTGTGTGTTTGTGATCAGTGTTGGAGAGTAGCTACAGTAGTTACATGTAACGGAATTAATAATTTAATTACAAAATACATGTAATTGTAATCAGTTACAGTTACTGAGAAAAAAACGTGTAATTAAATTACAGTTACTTATGAAAATGTTAACGATTACAAAGGGGGTTATATCGGAATTTTTTTCACACACACACCCACATACAGATTTAATTGATTTCTTTCATAAATTGCAGTGACTGCTCTAGCATACGAAACACCAATGTTTCAGGAGTTTAGTACAGAGAATAGGACACATGCTTATTCGATAACTTTTTTATTTCCTATTCGGGTTTATGTATATGCTTTATTTTTTCAAGGCATTTTTAGGTTCCAGTATTTCCTGTCATAGCTATGCAAATATTTGATTTCAAAAATAGTATCATCGATATTAAACTATTTCTTGTTATGGTTTTAAATCTGTATTTAACATCTGAATTAAATGGTTCTTCATTAAATGGTTTGGCACCTCCTTACCTTGCAGACCTTCTTGAACGGCACACATCTACTAGATCTCTTTGGTTCTCTGATCAGCTGCTTCTAACTGTTCTAGATTAAAACTTAGGGGTGACCGGGCTTTTTCGGTAGTTGCACCTAGACTGTGGAATCTCCTACCCCTGCATGCATTTAAAACTTGTTAAAACTTGCTTGGCTTTCAGTTACTGTATTGAGGGATGTTATTGAATTGTTGTGTTTACTTAGAATTTGCCTCTGTATGTTAATGCTTTTATTTATTTTTTACCTTTTTTTTTTGTACAGCACCTTGGGCAACAGTAGTTGTATTAATGTGTGCTTTATTATAAGTAAAAGAAACTGACACAGAAACATAATGCTCTCAAAGAAAGTCTGATTTTGTGGTGGTTGTGCTTTAAAATTTAATTATTATAATCTTAATTCAAGTGATGAAGGATTTTGAAAGTCTGACAGTAATTACAAACTCAATTCCAGAAAAGTTAGGACGTTTTGTGAAATGCCATAAAATCAAGAATATGTTATTTGTTCATTCTCTTTAACATGTATTTAATTAGTACAAAGAAAAAATGTCCAATGTTTTCGCTGGCCAACTTAATTTTATTTTGTAAATATGAACAAATTTTGATTTTGAGGGCTGCAACACACTCCAAAAAAGTTAGGACAGAGGCATGTTTACCACTGCCACATCAACTTTCCTGTTTAATTGTCTGGGAATTGAGGATACTAATTGTTAAAGTTTAGCAAGCAAAATTTTCCTCCAATCTCGCTTGATACAAGACTTCAGATGCTCAGCAGTCTGTGATCATCGTTGTCTGATTCTCCTTTTCATGACTGGTCATACACTTTCAATAGGAGACAGATCTGGACTGCAGACAGGCCAGTCTAGCACATTCACACAACCAGTGTCCACAAAATGCACACAGCAGTGTTCACAAAACCACACTGTTGTAGCACATGCAGAATGAGACCTGCCATTGTCTAGATCTAATAACCATGGACTTCCCATGAAAGACATCATCTTGATGGCAGTATATGTCTCTGTACAACTGCAATATATGTCTCCATGTCAATGATACCTTTGCATATATGCCAGTCACCGTTTGCTCTGCTGCGCTCATATACCATGACAGACGTTTGCTTTTGCATATGTCGCTGGTGAAAGTCTGGATGGTCCCTTTGGTCTTTGGGACTGAGAACTCGACGTCCATTTTTCTCAGAAACCAGATGAAATATGGACTCATCTGATCACAGCACACATTCCCACTGTTTTTTTGACTATCTGAGATGAGCTCAGGCCCAGAGAACCCCGCGGCATCACTGCATAAAGTTGATGTATAGGTTTATCCTAGACAGATCAACAGGGTTCAAGTTTGATGCAGCGGCAGACTGTGTTCAGTGACAGCGATTGTCCGAAGTACTTCTGAGCCCATGTGGTTATATTTAACACCGCAGCATGACGGCTCACTCACATTCAACTAAGGTTTCCTGTTTTGCCATACACAGACACATATTTCTCTGGATTCCCTAAATCTTTTCACAATATTATGTATGGTAGTTGGTGAAAATTCTAAATTTTTTGTGATTTTGCATTGAGAAATGTGATTTTTGATTTGTTTGACACTTCTGACGTGAAATTTGGCACTAATTGATAAGCCATGATCCAGCTTTGCTTGCAAAGACTGAGATGCTCCTTTTATACCCAAACATGACACCCTCACCTATTACCAATTCACCAGCTTACTCTGAACTGTTTCAATACAGTTTAACTTGGATATTCTATAACCTTTTCACTTTTATTTTGCCTCTGTCCCAACTTTTTTTTGGAGTTTGTCGCAGCCATCAAAATCACAATTTGTTTATATTTACAATATATATATATATATATATATATTTGAGAAATCTTTTCCAAATTAAATACAAGTTAAAGAGAATGAACAAATCTCAGATTCTTGATTTTATTGCATTTTACAAAACATCCCAATTTTTCCTGAAATTGGGGTTGTGGTGTTGAGCACTACTGTAAGGTTAACCCTGCCTGGTTTAAATGTTTGAAAATGA